TCTTATTCAATTTGTATTCAATTTTGTTTTTTATCATTTTGATAAATGATGAGAAAAGAAAATCATATTTTATTCATTATTCCTAATATAAATAAAATACATTTATTATTGAAAAGTTGATAGTGCAATAACTGTGGAAATAAAATATGACACAAATGTGTTTGAATAGATGAAGATGAAAGGAAGAAACTCACATCTACATTTTTCACAGTATGATATTTCGTTGGTGATCTTGATCATGATATCTCTCTTATAGATAGTATTCAGCTTACTGTTATTTTGATTATTTTTGTTCAAATAATTTGACTTTTTATACATTAAAATTGTGAGATGCATATAATACTTGTCAATGTATCAGAACAAATTGAAAGAAAATAGATTTATCTACATTTAAATAGAGGATATAATCGATAATAAATGCTACCAAGTAACGAATCCTTGATTTTCTCTTCCACTAATCACTAAAAACCTTTTCATATATCTATATGTATTTTATCTGTAATGAAACAAGGTAAATGATCGGGTTATTCGATAATAAAATGAAGGATAATAGTAGTTTTATTGAGTATAAGAACTCGTTTTTACATACTGACAGAGATATTTAAGTGTCATTAAAATCATTGAAAATGATTCACATAAACACATTCATTTTATCCATTATATGGATATCGTGTAATTTTGATTCAAAAGATCGAAAGTCGTACGAACAAGAAACGAATGAAACATTGACAAGTCATAATTCGATTATTTTATTACAAATCGTATCAGCTTTGAGAAAATGATATGTAAAATAATCAAATTCTTTAAAACTTTGATGCTACACGTCAACGTTTCATCATTTAATAATATATTGTCTATTTGTGATCATTGTAGACTTGCAAAATATGTGAAACTTTGCATTTTTTTCACTTAATACATGAAAATCTGTATACCTTGCCTAGTTTTTGTATTCTTGTCTTCTAACACTAGCATAAACAATCACAAAAGATATAGTAAAATTTCTACGATTGAACATCTCGTTATTCTAAACAGTGAAAGTGTTTTTACGGTTCGTCTTCTTATTATAACCTCTCTAAAGTGACCATGAGTGCAAAGTTTCTTGAATGCATTCTACTACCAATCATATATTTCTCATGGACTATGAGTCGATCAAAAAACGTGGCTGATTTTATGAGTACGGATACACATATAACAGCGTCTAATGAATAGTTTATTAACTGTGAATATTTTATAACTTGTGACTTTATTGAACAAAATAATAATGATGATGATCGTATATCAAAAGCATCATCACCAAAAATAACGTATATGCTACAAAAATTGTATTTATTAGTAACATCAGAGCAATCATAATTAGATAAATTAATGAAACCATTACAATCTAGATTAATTTATATCTATATTCAGTCAAAAAAAAGAGACAAGAATTTTTCAAAAATGACTAAATTGTATGTTTTAATTAAAAATTCTCTTAAAGTCATCCTTTCTGGTATTTCTCAGGAACTGATGAATAAGATATGATGAAACTTTCAAGGCAGATAGTTCTCGTTAAGTAGAGCGAAATTTGCGATGGATTTAAAATTTTCAGATGCTTTCTTCAAGAAGAGATGAGGACCGCAAAGACCGAAAGTTTTCTTTCCTATAAAACTCCATACTTCATTTATTTTTTTAGCTGTAATTATTTTTATGACAACTAGGATCACATCGAGATGTCTGTTTGTTTTTCTTTCATAAATATTATTCGTAGAGCTCAGGAGAAGCAAAATACAAGAAGCACGGCCAAAAAACATTTTTAGTTGAATATAACTTATTAGATCTAAAAAAGATAAGATATAGATTATCATTGTTTCATTTTATATTGAAATGAGCCTATACAGATGTATTTTGTCAAAATAAATATTCATAGATGAGTTTAGTTGACAACGAATATACACGCACTATATTCAATTAGCTAGTGGTGTAACAAGCAGCTAACTGGAGACAGAGATATTCAGTTTCTCTCACTATACCTGTAGAAGAAACTAAAACCATTTTTAATCAAGGATCAACTGTTTGTAGGAGAACTGAGTCCCGTATAGGATCCATCTTTGTGGAAAATTAAGCACAACAAACAAAAATAATTTGTTTAATCTTTTTTTAACAAGAAAATAAATTTGATTAAAAAATATTTCATTGTTATTTTCGTGTAATTCATAAAATAAGAATGCCTAATACAAATTAAGTGCTTGATCAGTTTGATATTAAAATCCCATTGTTTTTCTTTTTCGGTTGGATTTAGAAGAAAATGAGCAGTGAATTTTTTTAACAGAAATATTCGTTTATTCGTATTACTAAGGTGTGAATTCGGTATAAATGAAGAGACGAGACCAACCCATAGCTGCATTCAGATATCCACACGTTGAAACTTTTCAACATCAAGGTCATAGTCACAAATGCTTTGTTTTAAGTGAACAGATGCAAAAAAAAGAATGAAAAAGTAAATAGTCGACGGGCTGCAATAACAGATCAAGGTCTTTTCTTTCTGCTTTCGGAAGAGAAAAAAGCGAAGTAACATGAGAAAACAAAGAAGCTGAAAGTTACTGCTATTCAAAATTACCATGAAAGCAATTCATGCAGTTCTGTAAGCTATGAAGAAAACAATGAATGCACAAACTGAAACTAGTAGTAAGTGCCTAGTCTTAACCAATCGACTGCAGTAAAAATATATTCTATTAACCTAATTATCAATATTTAACCTTCACAAATAACACTTCGAATTGTTAACATCTAACTGTCATTCCAACACTTTTGAGAACTCCAATTCTTTACTGGCTGCTTTATTGATTTTGTGAAGATGCTGAAAGCATACATCGTAATTTCACAATATCTTGAGACATCAACAGTAATTCTCTTTCCAACAAAAATAAAATTTTGAGACAATTTCCTTTTTTATCGTAGGGAAATACGATGAACCTATTTTGGTTTTGATTATCAGTTATTGCCAACTCTACTAACGAGGGAACATTTCCAAGTGTTGGAGCGCTTTTGAGTCGGAACTTAGCGCATCTTGTAGACCTCGGTGAACTATGTTTACCGTAAAAATAGTTCGTGCCCATGGCTTATTCCTAGCGAGATATCGAAGTTTTAGTGACTTTTCGCTGAAGAATCCTACTTTTCCAGCACAACCATATTTTCGACTTTCGATATGAAACTTTGTCCACATAAAGACCTCAGCTAGACTTGCTTGCAAAAACAATTTCAGAACTTTTCAACAAAGTCTCTTCGAAATGTGAAGATTCTAAGATATAGGCTCTTTTCCATACATAGTGTATACAGCATACATTTTTTCACCTTCATATCTCGAAGAGACTTTGTTGAAAAATTCTGAAATTTTTTTTGCAAGCTAGTTTAGCTGAGGTCTTTATGTGAACAAAGTTTCATGTCGAAATTCGAAAATATGGTTGTGCTGGAAAAGTAGAATTCTACAGAGAAAAGTCACTAAAACTTCGATATCTCACTAGGAATAAGCCATGGGCATGAACTATTTTTACGGTAAACATAGTTCACCGAAGTCTACAAGATGCGCTAAGTTCCGACTCAAAAGCGCTCCAACACTTGGGAATATTTCCTCGTAAGTTCCATGATGGAATCGATAGAAGAATAGATTGACTTTTCTGTTACAGCCTACGGATTGTTATCACTTGTCTCGTATTATGTTTCTAAACTCATAAAAAAAAATTCACAAAATGCCAATCTATTCATGTCGAGTCCCCATCCATGACGATCTTTTAATCTTAACTGCAGATGGAGGAAAAAGTTTTGGTGCGCTGCTCCTTTGACTTTTTTATGAATTATAATCAGTATTGAGAGAATCGTCATGGGCGACTAAAGGCACCTCAATCATCGTTTGTATTTCAATTTCCGAGGAAACATGCCAAAATTTTATTGTGAAATTTCAGCGCTGCATTTTTTTTCCTTATTTGTTTCAAATTATATGTTGCCATTAGATGGGTACGAACTATAAAAAAGTTTTTTACAATGCACAAAAAAGGAATTTTAATAGTTAGCGGTTGTTCATAAGATAACAGCCATAGCTCAAGGTCGAATCGAATCGATCGAATTAAGATTTTGCGAAGGTATGTTGAATAATATCAAATTCAAAAGAATTGAGTCGAATCGGTTCAGATCAAATGGAGTCTAGTAAATTTGAGCTTTTTGTAATAAATACATACATTTTTGAAAGAAATGTCGACCACAGCATGGTTACACTTTCTCGATCATAATTAAGCAAGACGACAAACTTAATTTTTAGCCGCATTGATGACCAGGTACTTTTTGATTGTAGCTATCGAGATGAAGAGCACAGTTGGTCACAAAAATTGTTTTACTAAGATAGAATATCTTTAGATATCGGAAAGGGACTATTAGATAAATAGGTGGAAAAAAACGAAATCCATATTTCCGAGAAGAATCACTAATTATGCCATAAAAAAGAATCCATATTAAAACCATTTTACTTTGATGGTACGAGGAAGAACACATTTCACTACAATCCAAGAGTCATCGTGCTCACAAAACTCGATAGTGATGGCTCCTACAAAATGAGTTTATCAGCACAGCGCACAAACTTAACTATGATAGCAAGAAGTCTGATGAAAAACGTCGAAACTTGAACAGAAACTTTCTTGTGTTGAGAGTAAACCATAAATGGAGCGAAGACTGGAAGCGGCAGCACTGGAAGATTAATACGAAGGCATCAGCATCAGATAGTAAGCACTGTGACAAGGATAACTTTTAAACAATATAAGAATATCAATACTTGTCATTAGAGACATATCTCATCTTCAAAACCCACAAGAAGGGTAATTTTTGTTATTGCCTAGAGTCAAACTTCTTCCAATAGCTCTTTTACTAGTCTACTATTTTGAATATTACTTCTCAGCAAAATTTCTTTTGGTTCTTTGAAATGTATAGTTATTCCAAGCATTCCTTCCAATGCCATATGGGGAAAGGAAGGTGAAATGGTTGCTGGACGTAATGAGTCAGGTTGCGAACTCGATCAACTTCATGGTCCTCATGGTCTCTATATAACGGATGATGGAAATATCCTTATTGCTGACAGATGGAATCATCGTATTGTGGAGTGGAAAGTGAATGCAAAGAAAGGACAAGTAGTCGCTGGTGGAACAGGTTTCGGAAATCGGAATAATCAGTTGGATGGTCCAACAGATGTGATTGTTGACAAAATGACAGATACTCTCATCATTTGCGATTCGTGTAATCGTCGAGTAATGCGATGGTCTCGCCGAAATGGTATTAACAGTGGAGAAACTCTTATTGATAATATTGATTGCTGGGGATTAGCCATGGACAATGAGAGATATCTGTACGTCTCCGATTGGAAAAATAATCGAGTGATACGTATTCGAATGGGAACAAGTAAACTAACAGTGGTAGCGGGTGGAAATGGATCAGGTGATCATCTTAGTCAACTCTGCTATCCTGGATACATTTTTGTCGATCAGGAGCATTCTGTTTACGTATCAGACAGAGAAAATCATCGTGTGATGAAATGGGTAAAGAATGCGGAAGAAGGCATTGTTGTAGCGGGTGGACTAGGACAAGGGCATACTCTGTTTCAACTACACTATCCAAACGGACTGTGCGTTGATACTTTGGGCACAATCTATGTGGCAGACTACGGGAATCATCGAATCATGAGGTGGTACAATAGAGAAACAAAAGGAAATGTGATTGTTGGCGGACATGGTCCCGGAGACAATCTACATCAATTGAAATGTCCCATTGGTTTGTCATTTGATAGACAAGGTAATCTCTATGTTGTTGACTATCTGAATAATCGAGTGCAACAATTCTCACTTGGAACGAGTTGATGCCATTTGTTTGTTGTGCTTTTTTCTGAACACGAATAAATTTGATTTCTCTCGTCACTGATATTACTACAATTTGTTCCTAATAATCCGCCTATTTTAATAAAAACATCCACGCGTCCTCGATTTGAGAACAATTCTCGGTGACGACCATTGCAACTCTGAAGGCATGAAGAAGTCAAATAAATCCACATGACGAACCATGCATACAGTTCATACGCACATATGGATTCGAGAGCTAGTCGTGTATAAACGTCGTCAACTAGTTTATTTCACACGAAGAAGATGAGGCCTTCTTGATCGTTGACTCACCAAAGAAGTAGAGTAAAAGGTATAGATTATACTTACCTGACTGAAGGTTGATAAAATCAAGCGTAGCACTCAGCCGCTAAACATTGTTGAATGCCTTGAATTGTTGCTGAATGATGAGGTTTGACCATGTGGGTGTGGGTATGTGTGTCTAAGATGTGAATATGATATTTTCTAATAATCCACCCCCACAACCCTTCATATTTCTCCACATCCATACCCTATATCTCAATTCAAGCGCCATACATACTCAAAATATGCCAGCTTACGATGTTCTCTCAACAATATCACTGTCTTTCGCTAGTTAAGACCAATATAAGTTTTTTTCCCACTAACACCCAGAAACCGGAACTAAAGAAAAAGACTCATCGGAAAAGTTCACTAGAAATTAATCATTTGACTAGTGTTTGAAAGTGTGATTTATTTTAGAATATTCAAAAGAAAATGAATGATATTTCGAACTGAATAATTGAATTCATTATTCAAAACCCTACACCCAACTCAATCATGGCTATCAAAGTGATTCGAGACGTAATTGTGAAGTTTCGTTTCCGACAAACTAAGGCTTTCACACCATTGCTTCAAAATAATGGAGTGATGAATGTCACATTGCATGTACTTTTCAAAAAATAAATCTTTCATATGTCGCTCCGACTGAGATACAATAGATGATCAGTCACCCTCATTATTCCCTCTTGATTGACGGTCAATCTCGATAGAACCAGATGATATGATCTATAATACTAACAAAAGAACGTACATCAATAGTATAAAAAAGCTCCTTCTGAAAGGAAGCGCGAGCAGCACTTTTAGGAGTTTTCATTCCAGCTTCTTATCAAAAAAGTGTTAATCGACAAAAGAATAACTACTGCTGATCGTTATTCATCGATGACATATGAACAAGATCGATCTTGCACTTCGCTCGAAAAGATTTTTATTATTGAATAATTCGACAAGCGGCAAAACAAAGAATATCGATTAAAATAATTGTGTCAACGTTCGATATAAGACAATATTTAATTTTCTCCTCGTTTTCTGATTACGAAAGTAAGCCGTCGACGAATATCTTGCATGTTGTCCGTTGTCTGTAAATTAACACTTTCGACTTGCCATTGGTGATTAGTTACTTCATCCCACATTTGCGTAAAACTTTCTGGAGAGTGTCGCATCGCTTTGCTGCTTGGAAATGCTGTTGATCGAATACATTCTGTCGGTAATGAGGCACCAGCTTGTCGACCAGCAATAGCTCGTTTAGCCAAGCGAGTAAGTCGCTGACAAACTTCTCGCTGAGTCTGTGCATCGAACAGATGTATAAATGAGCCAACATACAGATAATCTGCTGGTTGTACACTGTTTAGAAATTCATCGTCAAATATGTCACCCGCACTAAAGATTTTCTTTTCTCGCATTATTTCGCCGTCACGAAATAATTCATACCCTAGTTCTATGAAGAATGGATCGAGATCATAGCCACGAAGATGATTGAGTGGCACTCCGTTGTATACGAGTTGTCGGATGTCTTGACCAAGACAACATCCGAAATCGATCAATGTAGCTCCTTCATTTTTGCATTGATGAAGAATCTCCTGATAAATGGGACTTTGCTGGATCGAAAAATCTAGAAATGTCCAGCGACCGAGACACGGATAGTTGTGCTTTTGCCATGCCCGCTGTCGTACATCGATCAAATGGTCACGTAAGGCTGATGCTGGAATTGAAGCATAGTTGGCAAAGAAAGTTTCCAAATCTGAATTGATTGGAGGTTCATCTTTGTAGAATGTGAGTATTTTGTCAACAGATGTGTCTGTGGACATCTTCGAGGCAATTTCATGAAATAGTGCGAGAGTTTATTTGCTTACAGAACCAAAAATGTTTACTACAGGTCTTTTATATGCTTTCATTTATCAAAGGAGTTGTTTGATGAAGACTCAAAAGAGAAAGGACGAGGCTTCTGTACTTCCAAGTACGAATGAAGGACAAGTGAAGTACGACTGAAATACTATAATATACGAATTAAGTATAGTGTAGTGTCGCACTTCACTCATACTTTAGAGTACTGAGATCTCGTTTTTCCGCCCTTTTTAAGACTGCATTTACTTTTTTTTGTTTTGATTGCTTGTCTCTTCATTATCTCCTAGCAAGATGATAAAAACACACACACGCACCTGTAATGAATAGCAACGAAAATTAGTCACTTGATATGCACTCACATGACTCGAACAGTAAAAGAACCGAACCTTTCACTTCGATGATGTTTCGGTAAAAGTGTTTTCTTTATTACTGAGATACAATCATGTGCAACAGATATGACAGATGAAAGCTACTAACCAGTCATGGCATGTCGTATGATGAATTGGTGTGCTACTCTTCAGGATGGTTATGGGTGTAGTTAAAACTCTTCTCTTCATCCACACTCCTTCATACACCAATATCATGAAGAACAGAAAAAATGAAATAAAACTTTCTAGATTCGAAGGAAGTTTAAGTCATATGTTCTCTCCAAGTAAGAAAGTATGAGTTATATTATGTTCAAAGATGAAGAAAGTTTGATACAAATTTCTTCTCGAACCGGAGAAAGCTACTGTCAAATTTTCCAAAGAAGGAGGAGTACCCTCTTCAGTCATGCATCGCACCATCATGGTATATTTTGCCATATCCAAGATGACAGCAACGCATTTAGTAATAATATACTGAATTCGAATAAATTCTCTAAGTTAAATAATTGAACTTATGTATTTTCTGAAACTGAAAGAATTTGAATTCGACATATTTTATGTATAAGTCGAATTATAATCAAATAATGTTCATTCGTTGATAGTAAATATTCTATGAATTGCTGATTGAACTCTAGCCAAATGTGCTATAATAGTTCGATTAATTGGAATAAAAGTTGGTCGTTCGATTTCTTCTTCCGAAAATTAATCAACTCTTTATTTAAAAAAATATCTTATATAAGAAGTTTTTAAAAAGCATCTGGCATCATCTGTTCTCTATGGATGTCGCACTTCTAGTTGATTTCATCATTGGTTGTGTAACCTATTCATCCAATTGTGATCTTTTACTTCCTACTACTTTGTGTTTCGACTTTTTTTTGAAATACTCTGTCTTGCAACTAAGTAATTGTTTCTACTAGTAAATAACAACATAATTCATTAAATAAGATGAACTATATGTCTTTTCTTAAGTGACATTTTAATTTTATTTGATGAAAACACAGAAAAAAGTTCGTTTTCTGCACCTAATTGATTTAGTTCAATTCTAGATATATTTTGACCAGAAATATCCGATTGAATATCAAAACTTTATGAATGTTCAGTACAATTTTTAGAGAAGCGCTTTATGAAGATGCAACATTCAATATCAAGAGTCGGTTACATTTGTTTCATCATAAGTTTATTATCATTTGTTAATGTTTCTACATATATATATACTTAAAATTGGCGATTTATTTGATGTTATTAATCATAAATTCTGAACATATTGAAACAATGATCAACTAGTGTAAAATTCTTCAAAAAATTTAATACCTTAGTTTATTAGTTCATTGTATTGATAGATATATTAACCTGTACGTCAAAGAAGTTCAATCAAAAAGATCTTCGCACGTATAAATTGATCAATGAATTGAAGGTACTATTAATTGAATTTTTCAACGATGCTTTGATGATAAAAAAAATATCAACACGAATAATTTAGCAGCTTTCCACTGTTAATAAACATGCTTTTATACCTTTAAACGATTAATATTTCAGCTGAAACAGGTTGAATTGATATACAGCCTATGTGAAACGTCTCGCATCATTTTTTACTTTTAATTACTGTAGTAAAACTACATAACATTAATTTAATACGATTATATGCTTGTATAACAGAGGTTAAGTCCTATATATGTACACTATAATGAAATGTAACATTCTCATCCCTATTTCGTCCAAGTTACAAACCTAGGTATCATTCTGTTTATGTTTAACCACTCTCTCTATTACTGATATCAATATAGACGTATGTATAAAGGCAGATTAGATTATATTGTAGTGTGTAGAGATCAAGGGAAAAGTATACATCCTCACCTTGCGAATATCTTCCTATTCAAGTTTGTCACATGCATTTCCTTCACAGAAAAAAGTCGTCAAGATAAAATAGAATGAATAAAAAGAAACTTCATCACTAACGAATAAAATGACATGAAAGCAAACTACTCGATACTGTGTTTCAAACTTTTGTAATCAGGCATGGTATTTCCTTGTAAACTTTATTTTCCACTGTTCGAGTTTGCCAAGCGGCACACAAATCTTAATAAACTACATGTAGTATACTAAGTTCTTATCCTAGAAGTTTACTCTTAAATACAGCAAAAACTCATTATACATCAAAAATTAAAGGGTCAGATCAAAGTTTAGCACGTTGTGGATTACTGGAGATAATAGCTCTTCAGAAAAATGCACTGTAGTCAGGATGATGAATAACGAATGATACAATAAGAAAAGAAGAAAGTATTAAACCTTGTTATGGTTATTGTGGTATTAAATATGAACATGATGTATGTAGAGATTATTCATTTACATTAATTCATCATCATTCATTCTACACTTATAGCAACAATACCAGGCTGCATATCTTAGTAAATATCACAGATCAAAACAGAGAGAATATTTTTTTCTTTCATCTCGACTCGCCACATTTCAATCTTAATC